CTGTCTTTCTGCGAATTTCTAGATGGGCCATTCTGGCATAAAGTGTTGTGATGATTATCTGTTCAGAGATGGTTTTTCCTTTCAGAAGATTAGCAAAGTTGCATCAAATATATGAACAGCTAGAGGTGGGAGAGGGAGAAAAAAAAAAAAAGACTAGGAATAGTGTGAAAAAGACAACTAATCTTTAGATCAGTCAATCAGAATAGTAGCTGTAGTGGTTAATATTTTATAAGTAGACCTTTTTGCTTAAAAAACAGTCTTTAGAGAAATGCTTGCTGTTTCTGTGAACCCTTAGTATGCAAGTGTCAACTTTATGAGCATCAGTTACTTAAAGGATTCGCAACTGTTTTGTGAGGTGAAAGATTTTGTGCATGAGAATCAGAGGCAGACAGACTGCAGCTTTTCCAGAGCTCAGCAAAAATATTGGGGACGGAACTGAGGAATGAACTGGGGAATCTTCTCCTCGGCACTTCCTTGATGTCTTTTTCCATTCTTCCCTCTACAGTAAAAATGGATGTTTTAGGACCCTCTGCCTCAGAATAGCACCTGACTCTCCCATCAGCACATTAAAGTACTAATATAGAACCAGTGACATGCCCTAGTTCATAATGTTCCCCTAGAGAACATCCCACAGCTTGCTCTATGTGTAGGTATATTTTTGTGTGTGTGTTTTGTTTCTGTTTTTTTTTTTTTTTTGGTGCATTAAATCTTGGATAATCCAATTCCATTTTTAGCTAAGTGAATTACCCTGAATTATGTTAGAACAATGAATGTGTTCTGCATGAGAATGCTAGAAAACTCGTTTTAAAAAGCACCTATTTAGCCATGGTTAAATTGGTTTTCTTCTTTCTTTATCTGATCCAGAAGATTCTCCCAGTCTGTTGTGGCTTATGGAAGCAGATGATTTTCTCTTGCCTGTAAAGTATTTTTGCAGGCCATCACTGCTCTCTCTCCAATGGTGTGATAACTCTTGTAGCTTCCTCCTCCTCCTTCCCCAGGAAAAAATAAACTGAACAGTTCCCTTGATGATTAATTCATCAATTCTAATTGAGCCTCACTTCTTAGATTGCAAGTCATAGTATGTCTCCATCTTTGAGTTTAGGTGATGGCACCCTAAATGCTGTGTTCTAGGCACTGCCAGTAGTTAACAGCGGAAAATCACTGAGACTCAAACTGTTATTCCTATTTGCTGGCACTGAGAGAAGCAGCTATTCATAGCAGCCTTTAAAATCACGGTATGAAGTCTTGGATCACTGAAGTTCATGGGGTTCCTGCATTCAGGCCAAAGCTCTACCCATGGAGACTGCACATGTGCATAGCTGCTCTTGGGCCCTCTTGCTGAAATGAGGCCAAACGTTGGCCAAATTGAGGTCTCTGCCCCTCCACATGATGGCAACAGGACCTCAGTTTTCTGCCAGGATCAGATTCTTTTTTTATATAATATTATTATTTTTTCCCCTTCTCCATCCCCTTGGAGTAAGTCCATCCATGGACTGGACATTTATGCTCCTGTTTCTGTGGCAAAGGCTGAGGGGGGCCTGGCTGGAAGGGGATGGCCTCCAGCAGGCTGCAAAACCCTCCGCCAGCCACCCTTCCCGCCATGGTGGCAGGTAAATTGTCACCCTGCTCTTATTCAGTTCCCAGTAAGCAAAACTGAATTGGTACATGGGAATGTTTGTCTTCATACTCTCTTCTCTCTCTTTTTTTTTTTTACTAAGTCTGTGCATAGAGCCAAACCAAAATACAGTATAAATATTTCCAGTTCTGTTCTAAATCCACTACAGACATGTTGCTGATGTTTGTGAAACACTTTTAGACTGTGGATTAAAAGGTACCCCAACCAGGCCAAGTGTCTTCAGTCTTCTAACATTGCAGTGTACTTGCCTATTAATTTGTGAGTTGTATTCTATTTAAAAACATACAAACGTCAATGAATTTTGGTAAAAACCCCTGTGGTAACCCAACACCCCTTTTCTATATATATTTAACTAGCTACAGAAGACACAGTTGAATGCTGCATTCATATACTCAATATTTTAGAAAACATCTGTATTTTTTAAATGTGTGGTTTCAATCTATCTATACATAGAACTCCTTCTGTAGAGCTTCTAATTCTGGTGTGTAAATGGGATATTAATATGATTTATAATAAAAATTGAAACTGGAAACATATTCACCTTGGCATGTAAACACTTAGCTTGACTGATTAGGCACTATTTAAAAATAAAAAATAAAAAGGAAAGCGGAGGGAAGAGAAACATGGCATGATGGTGACAGTGATGTGCCAATTAAGCAGAATCAATGGAGAAGTTGGGAGTGATGGTTAAACCAAGGCTTGCAAAATTTGATCATGTTCCTCACTCATGCTCGTCCTTCCAGACAATCTGAATTTGTATTTAAAATTTTGGTCCTTGAGACATAGCGGTATGTTCAGATGCGGCTAAAAAAGTCCTTACTTTTAGTTGGTAGGTTAAAGTAGTAAAGAACAGCTATGTTTATATGTGTGTTTCTATATTTACAACTATCTATACATATATCTATATTTATCTCCAGTTAAAATGCACCCTTCTTGAATTAAAGGAGAACAGGATCTTTTTAATGCTGATGCTTAGTATAGGACACTGCTGAAATTTCATCTTTAAGCTTTCCAAAGGTTGGTGAGAGCTTCCCTAAAAATAGGAACTGTCTGGGGATTCCTTGCATCAGAGTGCTGAAGGATGGTTGAGAATTTCATATAAGAGAGAAAATATAAACATTTTTGTCACAGCCCCAGTGAATCTGGCAGAAACTCCTGTTGCTTAGGAGCTAGCAAGTTTGAATCTGTTTTACTCCTACATTTTCAAAGTTATTTGACAAACTAGCTTCTCAGCACTGGATAAATCGTTCTCCCTGACACAACTTGAAATTTTTAACCAGTTGAATGTATTGATATCACTTTCTTTTCGTGGAAATGCCAGTCCTTTGCTCCTAAGCAGAAACATCTATTTTTGCCAGACTTCTCAATAAATTCAACTATGCAATATGTATACATAACTGGATACTTTAAGTCACCACAGCATGACAATGACAAAGACAGAACTGGAATATATTCTTTAAAGTATTTTTTTCCCAAGGCTCTTGAAAGCACAATTCCTTTCTGTTTGATCTCTGAAGGCCTGAATAGTGGTTAGAATTTCATGACCCTCCTTTTGGTCATGTCGTGATTCACCATTTGAAAAACAGTATTTTAGAAAGACTGCTGTTAAGTGTTTGTCCAGTTCTACCTCCACATGCTTCCAACAGAGATTGTCAATAGCCTATTTTTTCATAGCAACAATAGTTCTTTTGTTTATCAGACCTTACTCCCTGAACAACTTAAGGCACTTGTCTAACAGCTATTGTGAAGGTAACTTAAGCTGTCATCCTCTAAGTTGGATGAGGATGTTGAATTTGTTAAGTCAGAAGATATTTATTTTTTGTATTTTATTGGCATAGGAGTGTTGCCTCCATGAAAGCTTTCCATGTTGCAGATAGAAGATAGCTAGTTTCCTGAGGGTCATGGTTAATTCAGAATTGTATTCATTTGTAAAATTGCAACACATATCAAGTCCTGAAAAAGGAGAAGGAGAAATTTTTCTTAATGGGGCAAAACCTAATAAATCTTCCAGCATACCTCTCTTAGTTTGCCTATGGTAGCATATCCTACTTTGTCAGACAATAAGGATATTTTTGCAAAGAGTGTTCCTGTAACACATAAATGAAGCTAGACTATATTGATACAAAAGTTTTAGACACTTATTTTGTCAAGCTCTGAAAATGATACATCAGTGATAAAAATAAGAATTTTGCATAAGTTGGACAGGCCAGGTAACAAGTATAGTGGATCTCCACTCATGAATATATTGATATTAGCAGATAAAAGATATATTTGAGTTGAGGGTTGGTTCTGAGAATTGTTTTCATGATATCAGAATATGAAGAAAAAAATATTAGGTATGATACTTAGATAATGGTACTTTGCTTTGTTGAAGGAGCTGCTTGAATTTGGCAATAAAGAGTACTAAACTTGTTTGCTTCTGCTGTGCAGGTTTATATTGTTCTCTAGTGTATCTTTAGTGTGACCTCTTATAGAAACCAGCCCCAAAAGAAACAGGCATTTGACTCAAAAAATCTTCATTTGACTTCCAAAAGGAAATTTGAAAAAGAAGCTGCAATGGACTGTAGGAGAAAAGGACATTTCCCAGCCCCTAACTACATGTGTGAATTACTTAATTCTGAGGTTTTTAAGGTGTTTTCTACAACTTGGCTGCCTTCTTCCAGACTTCTTGGTTTGGTTTTTCTGTGGTTCTCAGCATTCAAATATGAAATACTAAGGACACCATTAGCCCAAATTTACAAGAGGTCTGTAATTCACAGCAACTGTTTGAAAGACAACCAAGATGGCTTTTCAAATGTGTCAAACACCACAACTGAGTGGGAGCTACGGAGAGGAAAATGCTGATGTGCTTTTGATGACTAGTGTCCCTACCTGGCCCCATTAACACTGAAACACGTTTTTGAAAGCTGAGAATGAAAATACTTACCTAAGGTTAGGTAAAGAGCAAACATACATAACTACATGCATATATATGTAAAAAAAAAAAACTTTTTTTTTTGATCCTTCTATTAGATATCTTCTTCTCCAGCAACTGCTAAGCAGAAAACTGATCACACACAGAGTATTCTAATTTTCAGAGTGAAATACTTATGCAATTGCTGTCAGTGGCAAAATTCCCACTGATTCTCTGTATGAGCAGAACTTTGCCTCATATATTAGTTTACCTTTCATTCGAGCGTGTTGGTGCTTCTTTATTCTGTCATCTTAGATAACAATTTGTCCCAGCTTTAAATGGCCATAGAGATTTTTACAGCAAACTTAAAGGTTGACTGAGGCTTGGAATTTTAACTCAATGAATTTCCATTACTTCACTCATGTTATTGTATACAGTATAACACATGTGTATAGAATAAAATGTACCTACCTAGTGTTGGGTCATACTCCCAGATGAACCGTTTGGTCAGGAAGCGTACAACGAGAGCTGGAGGAACAAAAAGATCACACATGAGATGCACAAGCCCTCAATTCATCCAATTTTTAAAGTTTTGCCAGAAAGCTTTTCTGTATGAATGTTCAAGTTGCAGCTCTTCTGAGAGTAGAATTCAATGCTGCTGTTGGGAATAGTCAAGATCTTTTCATTGTTCAAGTCCTACTTACACATTAGAAGACAGAATTTTTGAAAATATAGAAAATAAAAATTAACAATTCACATGTAAAAATGCAGGACAAATGACATCAGAAGGGTTTCAATTTCTCTGTTTTTTTTTCTTTGCAATGATAACTTCTACCATTAAAAAGATGAAACATCCCATGATTTGCAGAGCTATGAGCAAATAACACTTTAAAAACATTATTTCTTTTGGATGCTTTATATTTTGCATGGACAAGGGGAAAAGGTTGGCTGGTTTTGAACCAGGATGCTTTGAAACAGCAAAAGTGTTCAAATTTCTTCAAAATCTTTCTCTTCAGCTTTTAAATCCTGTGAGCTAAACATATAGTTAGCTAAATACTTTGCTTCTGTATTTCAGCACACTTTCCTTGCAGTTGTCTTTCATATTTGGCCTACTTGTCCCTGTGAGCAGTCAGCTATGTCATCTTATGAGCAGCAAATACAATTAATTAATTTGGAGAAGTGTAAGTATAAAGCTTTGCTTTTTAGAGCACTGGATAAATAGTTTTCAGTTTATGGAGTAAAATCTTGCTACTCGTATTCTTATTATTCTTATTATTCTTCGTATTTTCCCTATCCTTCAGCACCTCAAACTTGAACTCTAAAGATTATGTCAGGGTATTGATTATGTTCTATGTGACTTAAAATAAACAAGAGCCTTGAATTTCTAGTGGTTTAAGTGAACCATTCACAACTGCCAAGTATCCAAAATCTGTGTTTCTAAGATGGGAACAGAAACATCACTGCATTAACTGCAAATGCATTGATTTCAACTATAACAAAAAACTTTCCAAGTTGTCACCCTTTGGGACTGTGTCCTGCTCTTTTCTTTTGTGAAGGTGGCCAGTTAAAGGTGACAGCTGAAGTCAATTCTGATTCTTCTTGAAATGAAGGTAATAGGAACACCTCACATCCCTTCTTTCTGTGCCCAAGAGTAGGACAAGGCTCAAGAATTGACAGAACAGACTTAATTGTTTACAGATTTTCAGAACACATGAGTAATCAGGAAGGCTTGCAGGGTGTAGTTAGAAGCTCCTACCAAGGAACTGAGGACAATACATAAGAAGCAATTTCAAATCAGGTTTATTTTACAGATGAATGTGGCAATTTTCAGCCAAAGAAACTTTTCAAGACAAAGACCTATTGTACATGTCATTAAACTGGTGGAAGTTACTCTGCAGATTATTTTCCATCTGTACCAGACATTTTTCTTTCACATTTTATCTCAGATGGAATAATTTAAGCATCGTGACATTTCAAAAGTTGGTCATAACTAATTGCTAGTAATTGGTTCTCTAATAGCTAGTAAAATACACGTTTTGTTTTGTTTGTTTTTGTTTCCCTCCCACCCCGTTTTGACTGGGGAAGCTATGCAGGGTAAGAGCTTTTGTAACATGCTTTCAGAAGGCTCCTTACCTTATTCGTTTAAAAGAAAATGGTTTGAAAAAATGCTTCCGGGGCACTGTAGCCCAGTTTGCTTGCTTGAGGATGCGGACCAAATAACACTAGACCTATTCCAACTGTCCTGGATGCACTGTGGTTTTCACAGATGCTCAATTGTGGCATGTTTCTCAGCTATCACTGTTTTGTTGTTTTCAATGAGCACCACCCATGAATACAGAGCAATGTTATTAAAAACGAGAAGAAAAACCCACGGGGTGACCTTTATTGCAGCAGAGGGAGAAGAGCTGCTTCCCATGGTAGCTCAGGTGGAGGTGAGGAATAAAAAGGAAAGGGGCAATGAAAAGGAAAGAAAAACTGGACTGTCTCTGCTGAGATGTACCTCTGGGAGAACAGAGGAATGGTTACATTTGCTGGAAGAAAAGAGTGAAACAAAGTGGAAGAATAGGAGAGATCACAGGTGTGAGCCCTGGTGGGAAGGGAGGAAGTAGTTTGTATTGGTCTCCAACAGGGAAGGCCTCTCTGCAGAAGTAATCAATCATATACTTGGAAGGAGGCTGAAAGAAAGAAAAGGAGCTGAGGACAAACTTGCCATGCACAGGACCAGATGGAAGTTAGTTTCTCTTCCTGGCAAGTCTCACTGGGAATCCTGGAGAGTCTTGTCAGAGGGGTCCTTCACAGCAATGTTAACAGCCCGTTTTATGGTGCTTTTCATTTCCACATGTTTTTACAAGGCTAAAGATTAGTAGCTGTATTTTATAGATGGGGGAATATGACACGCTCTTGATCCACTGTCAGTCTGTCTTGTTTATAAATGCAAGTTATTTTGGACAGGAAGTGTCTACACTTCTGTCACATTAATGGTGCTTGGCAGCTGGGCCCATGATATCAAGTTTTGTGTTTAAAATAATATATGTGATTTGACTGAAATTAGTCAATAAAAGGAGATCTAGGAAGAGAGTGCAAGTGTTTAGGTGGTCAGTGAGGAGACCAGCTTGCTAGCTCACACAGTCTGGCCTGAAAACCTTCCCTCTAGAATGGGGGTACTACAGCAGTGGAGCCACTTTGAGTTCACTTGCTGCCAAATTACATCACTCTTGTTTTAATAAAGTAGCTTCTGCCAGAATCAGAACATTAGAATCAGAATCAAAAATGAAAACATTAGGAATTCATTCTACTTGAAAGTAGAGTACTTGGATTTCTGTCCTTGGCATAAATGATGTTTCTGGGAAGGCAGTAAAATTTATGAGGGCACTTAATGTTGAATATAAAGAACTGAGATGGGAGCAACTTCCTACTTACCTTAGCCTCAATGTGCTCAGCCTGTTCAGTGGCCCATCAGTTTTAAGACCTCTTTAGCATATTGATAATCAGCCAAAAATAACTCAACACATTCAAAAAAAATCCAACTAAGATGGCTTGATTCAAATTAATATTGAGATTGGCCAAAATACATTATTTTCTGATTAAATTAGATGACTAATTCTAGTGTAAATATTAAAATGATCATTTCCAGTGCTCATCTGTGAAGAGAAAATGTGCTTTGGAGAAGGAATATCCAGCTCCATGCAGTACTTCATAGAAGTGAATGTTGTGGTCCAGCACTGAGGCTATTCCAGGCCCTTCCGTGAACATTTATGGCTTGTGAAACACACGAGCTTACAGTTTTAGAAGGAAAAAATCTCCAGCGGGCTGTAATTTGGATTCCCGCTGTGCTTTTTGGAGACATGACTGTTACCTAAGAGAATTGATGTAATGTCCCAGCAAAGGAAGAATAGACTCATGTCTCTTTTCTGCCTTTACTTACACTGTCACTTCCAAGTCAGCTGTTTTGCACAGGGTCTAAATTAGGGTAGAAGTTGGCCTGGGACTTTCATTCACTCAGTTAGCCTTCTGACTTAGCCATGTTTCTTCTCCAAGAATAACTTCTGTCTGTCAAAATACATTCACAGTGTAGCTCCATTGAAGACAATGAAGTTATACCAGGAATTAACTTGGCATATAAACAGAGATTGTCAACCATATAATTAATCAATTTCTTGGGGACTTATGTGGCTGAGTCCCTTACTCAGCTTTAAAAATCTCAGCTCATATCTTTTGGAACATTTGTTTTTTAAACCACTGAAACTTGCTTTAGCTCTTTGTTTGGATTTAGTAATATATAAATGCTCTGACTAGATTTACAACCTGCCTGAATGTGTGTGTGCATGAATTTATTATTATTGTCCCAGCTGATACAAACTGAGCTTTTGGTGGGAGGAAGAATGGAAGCAGGGTTTCATTTGAAAAACAGCCCCTTACCCCCAAAGCTACAGAATTCAAAGTTATTCTAAGAAAAATAACAGTTCTTTGCAGTGAAATAATGGAATGATGATTCTTTTATGCCATGAGAGTTTTTGAGCTATAAAAATGATCTGAAGTGGTCACATTATTTAACATATCAACAAGTCAGCTCCTGGTGCCATGATGATACGATGGTATGTCTTCTTAAGAGAGAGTTCATCTCCTGCTCATCCTCCAATATCCTTTGTGTATTGGATTTTTAATTGCTTTCGCAGCACATGGTGTGCACAAGTCTGCAGAATGGCAGAGCTCTATGATACTTTGTTATGTAGTGCAGTACCTCTTTGAACAGGTTCGTATGCAGTTCTGAAAGGGAATGACTTGTTTTAAAACCACTACCCTGAGACTTTAATTTTCTTCTAAAACTGGAGTTCTTTCAGGGAAAAATATCAGTATGAGCTTATTATGCGGAGTCATTTTCTGAGCTGGGCTATGTTGTGGATGTACAAGTGCAATCTTTGCTCTGTCTTGGTATTTATGATCCGTATTCGACTCTGTTTTGAGTGCCAGAGGTATGAGTGGTGTCTGAGACATCAACAGAAGGTTTTCTCTGCGCTCCATACTCTCTTGGTCTGCTCACTGTGGTCGAGATCCAGCATGCTTGCAGTAAGGTAGAAGGCAAGTTTAATGGAGCAAGATGAGATAGGGTTGGCAGAGGAAGAAAGGGAGACCTGTATTCAGTATAAAAAACGGTCTGTTTTAGCCTGTCTTGCAGTTTCATGCTCAGAGTATTTTAATGCATATTTTAATCACTTTCTTAAACAGTGAATTCTTCAGAGAAATTACTGGATAAGCTTGTATTTTTTTTCTTTCTGTAACAGCATAGTGAGGTGCCCCACTGATTCAATATGATCACAGAAATATCAAAAGTATATATTATTTGTAACAGTAAATAGAGGCTACTGTTGAACTGCTGAGTTATAAAATGTGTTGTTCTTGCCTTTCACAAGGTTATGTTATTTAGTGTAACTTCAAGCTTATTTCTTCCACTGTAATTATGTGGGCTTTGGTTCTGTGCTAGGCATCAAAATGAGTCCAGCTATCATTGTGCTCTGGCTGGACATAAA